ATACTGGAAGTTCTTGAACAAGGGTTCTGCTTTCAGTTCTGTTATGAAAAGAAACATTACTAGCTTCATGTCAGCTGAGCAGAATAAAAAGCACATGAACTCTGGCATCTAAGAGTTCTCTTAGACCACTCTTAGGTTAGTCAATTACTAGCTGCATTTACCTTCAAAAATGGCGTGATCTCTCCAAGTTCTACTTCTTCAACTGTAACATGGGGGTAATAATAGCCCCTTGCCAAGGTAGTAATGAGGATTAAATGATAACGTGTATATCCCTGGGACTCAACCTTGGCCTCCCACTAGAATCATCTGGAGAACTTTATTAAAACAAACCTGCAGTGGCCAGGCCCCAGCCCAGATGGGTTAAATCAGTCTCTGAGGTGGTACAAACCGAGGCAGCTCTTCCAGCTCCCCAGGTTGAGAACTTTCGGTATTCCTCAAGTTCTTGGCCTGGTCCTGACACTCCCACGGTACTCAATGACTGATAACCAAAGGGGGGGCCGACACTTCCTCTGGCTCTTCTGTTCCATGTGTCCACCACATGCTTCCCCAGGTGACAGGAACTGAGGTCTGGCTCTGTGGCTGTCTGGCTCCTCCCAGTAGATGGGACCCCACACCTGTAACTGTGCCCCCAACCCGGGACCTGCTGACCTGTGGTCACTGGTCGTTGGCTTCTATCCTATTCTGGTCTTTCCTGGACCCTGAGCACCCACCTGGCTCTCAGGGCCTGGCCTTACCTTTGAGTCTGAGTCCTGCCTTTAGAAACTTCCTATGTCCTCAGACTTGAAAACAAAGATTTTCTCTCTCCGAAATAGAGACCCATGTCAGTCCCCAGCTCTGTGGCAGGTCCTTGCTGCTTCCTGACTGGGTCAGCAACCTCGGGCCTGATGCGGCGGCCTGCCCACCAGAAGATGGCAGAACCATCACTCGCTTTTTCCCCCTTACTTTTCTGGGACATCAATAGCAAGCAACATTAAAATTTTTTAACATATAAACCCACGGAAACCACTTTAACTAGGGTCTCATCTTGTGGAGATATGAGCATGAAGTGGTTTGCATGGCAACCCCACCCACCCCAGGACATCCCACATCCCAAACTCAGGAACCAGTGAGTATGTCCGATTACATGGCGAAGGGGACCTAAGTTTGCAGGTGGCGTTCAGGTTGCTAACCAGCTGGCCGGGAGATGGGGAAATGATCCTGGATTACCCGGTGGGACAAAGGCAATCACAGAGTCCTCTTAAGTGGGAGAGGGAGGCAGAAGAGGAGGCCAGAGGGACAGTGAGTTCAGAGAACTGTCAGAGGAGGTAAAACTGCTGGCATCGAGGCTGGATGAGGGGCCAGGAGCCAAGGAACACGAGTGGCCTCCAGAAGCTGGAAAGAAATGGCTTCTCCAGGGGCACCTCCAGAAGGGCCTGCTCACACTTTGACTTTAGCCCAGTGACATCCTCCTGGGCTTCTGGCCTCCAGAACCCTGAGAAAACGCAGTGGTGGTCACGGTCACTGGCTGAGCAGCCCTAGGAACACATACACTTAGCTCCTAACGACGCCTCAGCCCAGGCTCCCCCTTGTTCCAGTGCGAAGTGATCTCCCCAATGATAGTTCAGTCCGATTTCAAAACTCTCAAGTACTTTTGAATACTATGCAGGCTCATTTCGGTTTAAAAAATGTAGTCCTGCTCGTTAAAATCGTCAGCCTTATCTTCCTCTCAGAGCTCCCTCCTTTGCCCCAGTGAGCGAGGCGGTGAGGTGGAAGGGGGGTTCGGCTCCCTCAGCACCCCTTCCCTGCACTCGCTTACCTGGCCTTGGATTGAGGAGGACAGACAGGACTGCTCCACGGGAAGTCTCCCACCAGTGGGCCGTTCCTGCCGATCTAGTTAGTGGAGTTGGGTGGAGACTCGACACTTGTGGTCCCTTGAGAGAGTTGACTCATCCTCGGGCTGATACTCATGAGAGGACAGTATCCTCTCCTGCAAACCCTTCTTTGCTCCACACTTCAGTAGCTCTCAGGGAGCATGCACCCCACAGTCTGACCTAATCCAGGCCTGTCAACACAGGTGGGATTCAGCTGCCCTACCTTTCCAGCACCTGAACTTGATCATGCAGCCATCGTATGCTCCCCCCTGGCTGGACTGCCCACCATCTCTCCCAGAGCTCCTCTGCCCTCTCTGGTGGCACCCTGGCCATTAAACGAGCCTGGTAGTCCAGAGGACATCCAGCTGGGAGTGGAATGTGATTCTCTTGGGCTTGATCAAATAGAATGTTCTTCAGCTACTAGTGAAAGTAATATGTAGCAAAACCAAAAGCTTCTCTCTCCCAAAAAGCCAAGCTCTTCTTGGTTCTGTTGAAAAGGCATCTCTCAGCAGTCCTAGGAAAGGGTGCTGTTCCTCCACTCTTAGGATGTGGGGTATCTGGGGCTTTTATTATCAACTGTGAACCCTGCTCATTCATTCTAGGTCACTCTTGGGCCCTCACACCCATATCACAACCCAGCAATGCTTCTTTTAATGTAAGCTATCCTGAACCCCATCTGGCCTTTCCCTGATGTCTTGGGAGGCACCGTGATTAGCATCCACAGAGGAAGGCCTTGTGACATAGAACAACACACCCCACCTCAGTCTCAGTTCCCCAGCTGGAAGCAGGTGTGGTGGTGAGGAGGCAATAGGGTGGGAGAAGAGAAGGCTCTTGCAGCCTGCTTGGGGCTCTGAACACACTGGAGACATCTAATGGCACATCCAACCCATTCCATTTGCAAGAACAAAATGGAAAAATACTTAACACTCTGCGTAGTTCTGAAAAGTGACCCAGAGTTTCATTTTATGACATCATTCTATTTCCCCCTTCTTCCCTAGGAATCTGATGAGAATGAAATTTCTTTGGATGTGAAATCTGAGCAGTAGCTTTGCCTAGAAGCTACACTATGTGATTGATTGACTCTTTTTCAATGTTATCAATGTAAATGCAAATAGTTAAAAAATCCAGTAATTCAGAGGGTTTATAGTGCAAAGCTACAGCCCTGTCTTCCCACTTCCATCCTTCCCCCCATCATGCTTCTCAGACTCAGCAGCCTTTAACTCTTGTGTCCTGGTATTTACTTCTGTAGCTCTAGAAAGTGTTTGTGTTGCTTTTTGAAGAAAGCCTTCAAGAGTAAAACAAAAACACAAAGAGAAAATATGAGAGGAAAACTAGACAAAGAACCACATTTGAATAAGAGACTACCGAATTAGAAAATGGAGAGAAGAAAATTCTTTTTATCCACCCATCCATTCATCCTCCAGCCACCCATCTATCTATCCATTTCTCCAGAGCTAAAGAAGGTGATATTCCAATCTAGGTCTGTTGAACCAAGAGGCCACCCTCTGATATGTGGCATCTTCTTAAGTCTGGTGCCCTGTGACCTCACTGGGCCCTGCAAAACCAAATTTTAAAGCCCCACTGAGAGCCACATTTCCAGTCTCCATGTTTTTTCTTTTTGTCTTCATTCTTCTTCTCCTACTGCTTTCTGTTGTGCATCCTGAGAAGTGATTTGCAACAAAACCTCAAAACCTCACTTGAGTACATGCCTGGGGGATGAGATATCCCAGGTAGCGGACACTTCACTCTCTTAAGAGTAAATCACAGCACATCTACCAACGTAGAAAAATGACAAAACATGATGTTTAGCAAAAAAGTAAGCTGCAGAATGAGGTGTACCAAAGAGTGCCAGTTACACACGACTTTGCTACATAGACTTTATTAATAGCCAAAGAACATTTTATTTGATCAAGTCAAACCTTCACTGATTTAGAACTCAAAATCAAATCTAATACAACAATTTAATAAATGAAGACACTATGCCAGTAATACAAACATGTGTTTAACTAGTAAACCAAGTTAGGTCTTCGTAGTAACAATGGCTTTAGCAGCAACCTAATTTTGCCCCATTGCTGGGCCACCTGCCTGGGTCCCTGTTGATATCATTACTATTACTCAAAAGCGTGAATTGGAAATGGCTCTACATGAACGTGCGTGGAGGTTTCCATCAGCTAAATGATGACAGAGGATATTGATTCTCAGATAACCAAGATATGCCAGGATGTCTCAAGGATCATTTTTACTTTAGGCTTCAAGGATCATTTTTACTTTAGTGTCCAATTTAGGTCATTTTTACAGTGGGGACTTTGTAATGATCCTCCAACTTCCTGCTTCTCTTTTGTTTTTTCTTTCCTTTTCCTTTTCTTCCCTTTTCTCATTCCTTTTCCCTTTTTTCTTTTTTTCCTGGCTTTATCAAGATACAATTGACATAACTTTGTGTATGTTTAATGTTTGAATTTGATACACTTATATATTGCAAAATTATCACCACCATAGCTTTAGGCAATGTAACATCTCTATTGCATCACATAATTGCCATGTCTTTTTAGTGGTGAGAACATTTAAGATCTACTTTCTTCTTGCTCTCCATCCCCCTCTCCTCTTCCCAGACTCTCCGACCACCCATTCCTGTAACTTTTCTCCTGCAGCTAATGCAGTCTTGCCTATTCACCTTCTCCCTTCTTACCATGTTTCACTCAGAGACCTGTCAAGGTATTTTTCTAACCCCTAGCATCCCCCACAGAAAAAGCTCTCAAAATTCTATCTCCCCTGTTATAAGTTAAGTACATGTCACCCCTTTCATATAAAAACTGCAGCCAGCTATTGCTTTAAATGGTGATTCTCCCTCCTGCTGTATGTTTGACAACGAACAAAGAGTGGTGATCACATCCAACATCGCTACAGTACCCAGTAGGAACAGACCTCTGATCCTCATAATCTCCTGTGAAGCAGTAGATGGCACTGCTCCCACATTGGAGATGAGAACAGTGCCTCTCAGGGAAGGTTAAGTGACTTGCCTGAGGTCTCGCAGCTGCTAATGGGCAGGGCTGGGCTGCAAACCAGTGCCTGCCTGATCCCTGAGCAGGTAATTGCCCCCACCCCAGGATGCCGTCCACACTTGCCTCATTCCTCTCTCCCCATTCTTCTCAGGATTCCACAGCAATGGATTGGTGGAGGGACAATTTCTGGATCATCTTGGCTGCGGTCATCATCGTTGTTTCCTTGGGCCTGGGCCTCATCCTATACTGTGTCTGTGGGTGCCTGCTTAGACAAGGTAATGACCATCTCACCTGGGCAGGTGGAAGGAGGGGAAGAGGGAGGGTGCTTCTCAGAGCATTAGGGCTCCTTTAGGGCAAGACCGCCAGTCTGGGCCTGTAGAAGCCCTGCCACTAACTTATATCTCTGGGCCTCAGTTTCCCCATCTGCATCAGTGAAGGAAGAAATAATCTCCAGGAACTCTTCCAGCCCCAAAAGTTTGGGTGAAAGCAGAATCTGTTTCAAGGCACACCGTGCTTTTTCTTGCTAATGTGGCTGCTCATCACACAGCTCTTTGTATGTCAATCATACCTCGATAAAGTGGTTTTAAAAACAAACCCTCTTGAGGCATGAAACATGGACTTGATCCATGATCAACATGTTTGGCCATCATGACTACCCACATGAGATCATACTCTGAATTATCCAGTATTATATTCGCCTTTGCCAGAGGTTCTTGGCATCCTCGGCCATAAATAAGCAGCTTCGTGGAGGATTAACACTAACTTTAGATTATCTACAAGTGGGTTTCCACTTCGCTATTCATCTCCAAAGTCATGAAATCCTTGATTCTGTGGTGTGTTGTCTTGAGATCCTATCCCTTTACATAATGGCCTAAGCCTGAAGGACACCTGGGGGCAGTTAAGCCACCTTCCCCTGGGGCGACCTGGGCAGGTGTCCGTCAGTGACAAGGGCACTGCCTTCCTGTTCTATGTGGACTCAGCCTCAGAATCCTGCTCAGCCTGTGCCGGAAGGTCAGGGCTGCACAAGAAGTGATTCCTTTTTGTCATTCTTCTCAAGCTCCTCTTAGAGATGAGAAAATTAAGGTTCAGAGAGAGGCAAAGCCTTGGGTGGTCTCATAGGAGCCGGTGGCAGAGTTGGGACCAGAAGTTGGTCCACTGGACTTTCCATTCAATGTTCTTCCCCTTTACCTCTCGAGGGTAGTTTCTTTAATACAAAAAGTGTATCATAGCCCCTATAGTAATCTATTGCCTTCTTAAAACATGTTTCATTTTTAGATGTGGACAAAAGCATGATCCTGAACAGAACCTTTACCTATTCTCTTTTATCTTGACCCACTTCAGTTATCAGGCAGATTATAATTATTAATAATCTATGAGTCTAGCTCATCACGGTTGGCAAGCTGCTTTTTCCATTCCTTATCCCAGTGCCTCCCAACCACACGTTTGGTTATTTGACCAATATTTCTGAGTACCAACTACGAACCAGGCCAACTACCTACAGGCAGCATGGCCCTGCCCTCTTTGCATTGGCAGAAGGCTCTGTGGTCAGACGGCCTGCTTCCATCCTGGCTTCCCCACTTATTAGCTCTATGTCCCAAAGCCCGTTTCCCCTTGGTGGTTCTTCCAAATGTCCAGAACCTGCATGGTCTCTGAGGGCCTCTAACCTCTAAAATCAGAGCTTTTGCTATTTCTTCCTAACTGATTTAGCGTATTTGTTTCCTTAGGCAAGAAGTGGGACGTTGCCAAGCCCTTGAAACACAAGCAAAGTGAGGAAGAAAAGATGTATGAGTAAGTGGGGTGAAATCCTTCTGCTTTTTAATTTTGAGAACTGCCTCTTCACTTCCACTCCGCACTGACGCTGCCGCACTGGTCTGACTTTCACACCCATTTTCCTGGGCCACCAGTGAAATGTCATGCCTGCCGGCTCTCCCTCCTTTAAGGGGAGAGGTCTCAGGGCTTTGGGGTGCAGGGCACCATCTGGCCCTCTCTGCTTTCCAAGTCTTCCTCTTCCCACCTAGTTTGATAGAGGTCACAGGCTAGGCTCTGCATTCTGGACCCACCCCTCAGGGTTAGGGCTAGCCTTCTTTAGAGGGTTTACAAGTAGAGCCCTCTAACAGCTATTGTGCTGCACAAAAATAGGTCACGCGCTGCACTTCTATATTTTGTGACACGTTTGGGCTTTGTGATTGCTATCTGGGTAAGGGGGTCTCCAAGACCATCTCTGGACTTGATCCACTAGAAGGATTCACAGGATGCAGAAAAGCTATTATATTCAGTTATGGGTTATCACAGCAAAAGGATACAGATTAAACTCAGTAAAGGGAAAAGGCACCAAGGATGGAGTCCAGGAAAGACCAGGCTCACATATCCTATTTAAAAGAGACAATGAAGTTTAAACGGGGCTGACCAATACTGCTGATATTCAATGTGTAAATTCATAGCGATATCCCAGCTTGGAGCATAAGAAAAAATAATTTAGGGTTGTCACTGGGCCTCTCCCATTTCCTATCAGAAAATTTTTCTGGCTCCCTTGACTGGATTGTTCTCCCTTAAGCATTTCACATAACTGGCTTCCACCCTTCAGGTGTCAGCTCAAATGTCAACCCCTCGAAGAGTCCGTTCCTGACCACCCTGTCTAAAGTAATCCTGCTTATTTTCTTTATTAAACTTAAGGCAATTTTCCGAGATTGTCTTACTTAATTATTGTTTGTCGTTGTTTACTATCTGTTTTCTCCACTAGAATATAAACTGTTTCTCCATTAAGAACAGTGCCTGCAGCTTGAGAGATAATTAATAAAAATGTTTTGATTGAATGGATAACTAATATTAAGTAACATGTCTTGAACCCACCCCGTGCTAGCTACTTTACAGGCATGATCTCATTGATTCCTCCCAACAACTCTGTGAGGCAGGTGCATATTATTCCCTTTGACAGATGAGGACACTGAGGCACAGAGAAGTTAAGTTCCACACAGCCAGTGGAACTGAAGACAGCACTTAATTCTCCCAACCTCGACGTATGGCAGCATATGCAAAGTATCACCAATCAGATGCACTCCCTCAAGCCTTGGTTTCTAGGGTTTTACTGGAGGTCAGTTTTATAGGCATGGAGCACCCGCATGACCTATTTCAGCTACTCAGCCTCCACCCCCTCCAGAGGCCACGCGGATAGAGCACCACCAGGGTCCCGGGCAAACCCAGCAGGCATTCACCATCAATCACCTTGTTAGCATAAACTATCTGGCTGCTGCAGGGCCCCCAGTATACAAAAATACTCTTATCAGGCAGGATATTCCAAGAGCTTCTAGGTTATCTCCCAGGACCTGGTCAAGGGCCAATCCTTTCTTTGAAACCGTATTATCTGCCACAAAATCTATGCTTTCCTGAAATGACTTTTTTGGGAATGGGGGAACCCAGCAAATAACAGATCTCTCCTCCACCAGTTCTGATCCCCTCAAGGAGTAAGATAAAAGTGTCATGCAGTTAGGTAACATTATATTGAGAATAAAAATGGCATTGCAGCATGTGGCTCTTCTCCATGGGCAAGTGCATTTCCTAATTCAAAACCAGCCAAAGCTGTCTGCACAGGCAGCTCTGGAGAACCTCACGGGTCTCCCTCAGAGCACAGCCCCTGTTTCTGATGGCAAAGGCCCGAACAGAGTATATGCTTTCTGCAGTCAGGACAGTTCTGGAGGAGAAAGTGGGAGAAGCTAGCCTTTCCCCAGTCAGATAAATTTCCCTCCTCTGATGGGATAGCCACAGAGGGGTGCAGAGAGGCCACTGACAAAACTCTTGCTGGTTCCCCTTCTCCACTCATCCAAACCATCTAAAAATGCTCATGGATCCCCAGGTGGATTTCACCACATTAAAGGAGGCCAAAACGTGGCTCAGAGGAATTCAGAACCAGTTTGGAAATCAGAGTACACAGGAGGGACTGGGAGCCTAAGTAAAGAGGCTTTCTTGGAGTCTATGTTTGCATTAAAATGTCTTATTGAAGTATGACAGGAATACAGAAAAGTGCACCTGGAAAGAGTACAACTCAGTCAACTTCCACAATCTGAACAGACCCAGATAGCTGGCACCCAGATCAAGAAGCAAAATCACCAGGACTTTGACACCTTATATTCCCTCTCAGCCATTACACCTCAAGATAACCACTATTTGAAATAGTATAGGTTCATTTATTCTTGGCCTTATGCTTTACATAAATGGATTTGCACAGTACGTATCATTCGGTGTTTGGTTTCTTTTGCTCAACATTTTTTGTGAGGATTCACTGTATGTGCTGGTAGAGTGCTCATTCCCCCGCTGTACAGGGTCCCACTGTGGGGGTACACCATGATGAATTTATCCCTTCTACTGCTGATGGGCAACTGGGGAGTGTCCAGTTGGGGGCTATTATGAATAGTGGTGCAATGAACGTTCTAGTGCATGTCTTTTGATGAACATCTGCAAGCGTTTTGGTAATTGAATCACTAGTTCAATTACCCCCTTTGCCACCCAGGGGTTTGCTTTCTCCAGAACACAACTGTAAGTATATTTTGCCAATATTTCATTCAGGGTAGGATAACAATTTATCTAAATGTCTTAGTCAGCTCAGGCTGCCTACACAAAGTACCATAGATAAGGTGGCTTAAATTTTTAAAAAAATTAATTTTCTCACAGTTCTGGAAGCTAAAAATCCAAGGTCAAGATGTCAGCCAGTTTGGTTTCTAACGAGGGCTCTCTTCCTGGCTGGCAGATGGCTGCCTTTTTGCTGGGCCCTCACGTGGTCTTTCCTCTGTGTGTGTGTGAGGTGGGAGGATGGAGTTCCTACGGGAGTGGGGCTGTTGTCACACCATGTGTGTACGTTTAGCTTTAGGAGGACACCTGGTGGCACCTCCCCCTCCTCACACAGCTCAGGTGAGCAAAGGGAGGTGTGCTTCCTGCTCTAAATTGCCGTGCTTCAACTCTCTTCCCTCTGGTCCAGCTGCTCCCTGGACTAGAGGAGATAGTTGTTTTCGAGCACCAGTTACAAATGGTATGCGATTTTTAGAGACCAAAATTCGAATGTTCAGCCCTGTGCATGTTATTTGCTGTTTTCCTTGAAATCTGTGGACAGCAGGTGCGGGCAGCACTGAACGCTGACTCTTCCTTTTTCTCTCCCTCCAGGAATGTTATTAATCAATCACCAGTTCAATTACCCCCTTTGCCACCCAGGGGTTTGCTTTCTCCAGAACACAACTGTAAGTATATTTTGCCAATATTTCATTCAGGGTAGGATAACAATTTATCTAAATGTCTTAGTCAGCTCAGGCTGCCTACACAAAGTACCATAGATAAGGTGGCTTAAATTTTTTAAAAAATTAATTTTCTCACAGTTCTGGAAGCTAAAAATCCAAGGTCAAGATGTCAGCCAGTTTGGTTTCTAAGGAGGGCTCTCTTCCTGGCTGGCAGATGGCTGCCTTTTTGCTGGGCCCTCATGTGGCCTTTCCTCTGTGTGTGCGTGAGGTGGGAGGTGGTAGGGGGCAGGGAAGAGAGAGAGAGCTCTCTGGTGTCTCTTCTTATAAGGACACTAGTCTTATGGGATCAGGGCCCCACCCGTATGACCTTTTTATACCCTTAATTACCTCCTTAGAGGCCCCATCTCCAGAAACAGACACCCTGGGGGCTTAGATCTGCAACATATGAATTTCAGGGGTCACAAATATTCAGTCCATAGCAATTGGATTTACAGATGGCAGCATCCTATTTAAAAGAGACAATGAAGTTTAAAGGGGGCTGACCAATACTGCTGATATTCAATGTGTAAATTCATAGCGATATCCCAGCTTGGAGCATAAGAAAAAAATAATTTAGGGTTGTCACTGGGCCTCTCCCATTTCCTATCAGAAAATTTTTCTGGCTCCCTTGACTGGATTGTTCTCCCTTAAGCATTTCACATAACTGGCTTCCACCCTTCAGGTGTCAGCTCAAATGTCAACCCCTCAAAGAGTCCGTTCCTGACCACCCTGTCTAAAGTAATCCTGCTTATTTTCTTTATTAAACTTAAGGCAATTTTCCGAGATTGTCTTACTTAATTATTGTTTGTCGTTGTTTACTATCTGTTTTCTCCACTAGAATATAAACTGTTTCTCCATTAAGAACAGTGCCTGCAGCTTGAGAGATAATTAATAAAAATGTTTTGATTGAATGGATAACTAATATTAAGTAACATGTCTTGAACCCACCCCGTGCTAGCTACTTTACAGGCATGATCTCATTGATTCCTCCCAACAACTCTGTGAGGCAGGTGCATATTATTCCCTTTGACAGATGAGGACACTGAGGCACAGAGAAGTTAAGTGACTTACCCATGGTCACACAGCCAGTAACTGCTGGAGCCTGGAACATGAACTAGGATCTAACTGCAGAGCTCTGCAGGAAGCAAAGTGGTGGCAGGTTTTCAGGTCCTCTTAGGAAAAGAGGAGGTTGTGGCAGAGGCAGCTCCAGTCCCATTGGAAGCAGAAAGAAGCTGTCTCATCATGCTGCCCTGAGCCACCTTAGTCCTTTTCCTATGGACCCATTCTCCACTAATCCCACTTTTTGAAAACATCACTGTCCCTTCCTTCTTAGCAGACAGATTCATACATGACCAGTCGTGGAGAGTTCTGGAAAACAGTATAAGTCATTGTGAGGGATATGCCAAAAAGGAAATAGGGTTTGTATCACTTCCTTATGAGAATTAGGATGTGTAAACACAGCACCACTCAGTCGGCTACTAGCTCTAGTCAGTTTCTTGTCTCAGCTTCTGGCTCATCGCTGCCACTGCCATGCAGTCCTACGCAAAGGGACATGGAAGTCAAGATGTCTGACCAATACATGCCATTGACTCACTGGGGTGATCTTGAGACTGTCATGTCTGTGTATCAGTTTCCTCTGTCAAATGGGGTGCTGGTCCACCAGGAAGTGGGAACATCACCAAAACCCATGACAATCATGCTGAGCCCCTGGGTCAAAGCTACATAAACACATAATAGCTTTGCATTTAAGAACCCTTTTGTGTATTCTAGCCCCACAGGAAATCCCAAGTCCGCCACCAGCTACATACTCAATCGTAAATAAAGTCCAAAAGAAGAAGACACTTTCCATCCCAAGCTATATTGAGCCTGAAGATGACTATGATGATGTGGAAATCCCGGAAGATATGGAAAAGCATCATTTCGAAACAACTGTCTCTGCTTTGTGGCAAGCTGAAGAGGCTTCACACAGTTTATTTTAAAACAATCAAGAATGGGTGAACTTCAGGAGGGATCTGGGCCCCAAAAGCCAGTGGAAATGTTCTGTAAGATCTTTCTGACCCTCAGGCAAAGAAGCATCAGCGATCAAACTAATGCAGCCAGAGGGAAGCCCATGCTCAGCCCTGGAGACCCAGAGGAGGCAGGCCTTGACCTCCCAAGGAGGGGATACTCTCCAGGGAGGACCTCTGGCTCCAGGGCTCCCACCCAAGAGTGAGTGAGCACTCAGTTCTCAGCACTCGTCCCCCTTTCCTTCCTTGTTGGTATGGTTCTAAGGGATCTTAAACCTTGGTGTCTGGGGAGGCCTCCCAGGCTCCCACGCCCAGCACGCCTGCACAGCCCCGCCACCTCCTGCATTCAGGGGCTGTGGGTGGTAGTCACAGATGAGCACTCTTGTGCACAAAGCAGTGCGTCACGCCTTGTGAGTCCGAGGAGAGGAGAGCTTTTTGTTCTTGTGAACCCTCCCCACCTACACACACCCCACCCCCAGTGCCTCTCTGTGACATTGGCCAGACCAACCATTGAAATTCAAGTGCTCACCCAGGTTTTTCTGTGCTTCCCGGTTGCACCAGAGCAATTAACAAAGGACAGAGTTGATGCAGAGGCGTCATTTTGCAATGCATGTGCTGGGGGAGCTACAGGAAAGTATGTTTCCCCAAAAAAAGTCATGGGGAAGAGGAAAGAAAGGGTGATGAAATAGCAGCTTCAAAATGAGAGGTCAGGGGGCTTAATGCCCCCTCCATAATTATCATTACTGCTTCTTCCCTTAAAGTTCTAAGCAAACAGCGCCAAGCCCCTGCCTTCCAGATCCCTGAGCAGCTGGGAAGCGGAAACTGCACTGCGATGACCTGCAGCCAACGTGCTGCTGCTGAGGGATCCAAACATCTGCTGTCCTTTAGACAAGGGCCCTTGTCGCCCAGCCCAAGTCAGCTTTGTAGGCTCCTGAGTCCCCTCCATACCTTCGCAGTGATCTGCTGGAGCCCTAGGACTTGATGCTTTGTAACCAGAACTGCAAGACAACTTTCTAAGCAATTCCCAGGAAACCGGGGGAATGAGCAGGGAGAGCACTAGGAACCACTCAGCCGGCACAGACCCCTGGACCGAGCTCCTCATGAAACGGGAAGGGTGTTCCCTCCCATTCAGGCATCCTTCCCCACCCACTGCTGCCCCACTGGGGATACGTGTGTCCTCTTGGCTTCGCTCTTTCTAGGCTCCATGGAGACTTCCAGCTTCCTGTTGGCACCTCCTTATTTTAGGCCACTGGTTCTCTAACTACGGCCTGATGGAACTCTGGTATTCCACAAGTCAAAGAGAGGATTCATTTCCCAAAATTACAGAAAAAAAAACAACTAATAAGCGGAGGGATAGAACTGTTTCGCATGTATGCTTTCCTCTTATAAATGTTCTGTAAACCATCCACATCCATCACCAAAGTTCAAAGCTGAGGGGGAGGCACTTGCCAGACTAGTATCACTGCCAGCAATCCGGTCCCAAACAGTAGCCGAACCTAATGTCCCTTCCACAGGGGAAAATGTCTGAGAAGGAGAGATTACAGCCAAGGGTAAAGGGAAGAATAAGTGGGTGATGCAAGGGAAATCCAACATTGTATTAATACCTCAAGAGAGGCTCAGAACAAGAGAATAATATTTTCTCTTGGCAAAAGCAGACCAGATGCCAGAAGGGTGAAGCTGTATGTTTGCCAAGACTGCCTCTGCTTCTGGAACCTGACAGGGTTGAATGGCAGCCTGCAAACCTGAGTGACATCGCTCTGGGAGACACTCTGATCATAAGACTTGTTGATGAACTGGACCAATTTAAAAACATTTGTAATGACTTTATAGGATAAATGAGTTGTCTTGTTAAATCTGTCCCCAGCCCACACTGGCTTCTCCAAATGTCATGCCTATTTGCACTGGTACTATTGTTCTATCTGTTGAATAAATGCCATGCCAGATGTAACTGCCAATCTGCAACAGGCATGATCGTTTTGCTGTCAGGAATCCATGTTTGAAGACCAGGGGGTGGACTTTGATAAAATGAGTTATAAGAAACACATATTTAGTCATTCAGATGATCAAATATATTTTTCCTAGATATATCTGGTCTTCATCCACAGTTCCTGAAAACACTTCAGAGCCTTGAAGGTGAAATGGGTGTCTTGTCATGTTGATGAGACACTTTTGGATCCCACCCAAGGGTTTGGGGCTGGAGGTTGAATCAGCCAATGGCCAATGATTTAGTCAATCATGACTATGCAATGAAGCCCTTACAAAAACTCATGAGAAGAGCATATCCCTCTATTTTGAGTCCTGCTTCTCTGTCAGAGAGAGCCTCCATGCTTGGGGAACCAGAACGTGTCCACGTGCCATCAAACCAAGCCCCAAGCTCCAGGAGGATAGAAGCTCCTTTATTTGGGGCCCTGCCCTACATATCTCTTCATCTGGCTATAACTAGTATCCTTTATTAAACTGGTAAATATAAGTGTTTTCCTGAGTTCTGTAAGTCTCTCTAGCAAATTAATCAAACCTAAGGGGGAGGTCGTGGGAACCTCCAATCTGCAGCTGGTAGGTCAGAAGTACAGGGAACTCCTTGGGGTTTGTGACTGGCCCCTGGAGTGGGATGTCTTGTGGGACAGAGCCCTTAACCTGGGGAATCTAATGCTGTCTCCAGGCAGATAGCATCAGAATTGAATTCCTGGACAACCTGCTGATATTCAAGAATTGCCTGGTAGTGTGTGGGGGAAGACCAAGAACCCAAAAAGAGTTATACTTCTGTGTGTACTATTATTAGTGTGTATGAAAAAAACACAAAAGCAAATGATGGGTAAATGTTAACTCCTCCTTGGTTTCTGGGACACCGCCATCTCCTGGCTCCCCTCCTGCCTGTCGGGCCTGTCTCGGTCCTGTTAGTGAGCCCTCGTCTCTGAAACATCTCTTCAGTGTGGGTCTTCCTGAGGGTTCTGTCCCCATCCCTGCCCCCATCTCACAAATAGTTAACAGTCTGATCTTTGTGATACAAATGAGGTACAAATGAGACCAGCCCAGCTCTGCCTCCGTGGGGGAAGCTTGTTCTTCCCTTCCCCATATGTATGCCACTCTTTGCAGCCAAAGCCCCTGATTTTCCTTTTGGATCCACTTCTTTCTTCCCTCTCAGTCAGTGCAATTTGTGAGAGCCTCACCCCCACCTTAGGGCTAGAGCATGTGACTCAGCCTTATGTATGCTTTAGGCTACAAGGAACAGGCTATTCACCTAAAGGTAACTTAGACAATGAGGAATTTATGACCTCACAAAGTGAGAAGTCTAGAGGCAAGCACTGCATAGTTCAGCATCTCTAAGATTCAGGAGTATGGGCTGACTTTTCTTTGTCTTAATTTTACCCTCATGGTGGCAAGGTAGCTGCCATAGCTCCAAGCATCATATCCTCACATGATAACATTCAAAGTTAGGAACAAAGGGGGCATTTTCCTCCATGTTGCTCTTTTTATTAGGGAGGAAAATCTTTCCCAGAAATACCCAGCAACTTTTCCTAATTTGTCATTGGCCTGGATTGGTTTACATGACCCGCTATAGGAAAGGCTGGGAGTCAACAGTGGGGATTTTCAGCCTTTATGGCTGGAGGTGGGCTTTGCCATCAAGAAAGTATAGTAATGTCTGCATCTTACCTTGAGATGCACCCAAAGACAAGATGGCTATAGAGCCTGCACTTCCAGCCTGGGATAAAAATAGACTTCCTTGTTATCACTCTAAGTAAAAGCAGATCTGGGTCTGCAGGGCCAGCTCCACACCACATGCTTATCCCCTTCCTGGGAAGAGAAAATGGAAGAGTAGCTGCACATGGGCTGAGAGGGGTCGGATCCTGTTCTCCCTTCTGAGTCCAAATAACTCCATCTATACTCTGAAGGAATGTCTTAAACTCAGCTCAGTCAAGTCAGCCCCTCCCTCTTCCTCATGGGAAGAGAAAGGGATTCTCTTCCTCTATGGAAATTGAGAGAAAGAGCATAAGACTCCCTTCTGATTATGGACCTTGCCTGATTATAACCTTTCCTGACCTTGACCTGTGGCCCTCTCCAGAGGCAGCAGTCAGAGCGACATCCTGGAGAACAGCCCAGCTCTGCCTCCGTGGGGGAAGCTTATTCTTCCCTTCCCCTGTATGTATGCCACTCTTTGCAGCCAAAGCCCCTGATTTTCCTGTTGGATCCACTTCTTTCTCCCCTCTCAGTCAGTGCAATTTGTGAGAGCCTCACCCCCACCTTAGGGCTAGAGCATGTGACTCAGCCTGGCCAATGACAGATTCTCATTCCCTTGGCTACAATGACTGGCTGATGCTTTGAGGACTGGGGCAGGTGTTCCTTCCCACTGCATTTGCAGCTGAGGGCATATAAATTCCCAGTAAGAATCTGTTACAAATGACACTGAGCTAGGACAGATCCTAAAGGCATTGTTTGAGCCCGTGTGCAGCCATGCTTCATGTTCCCTCTGGATTTTTTTAGTTACATGAGCTGCTATTCTTTAAATGCTTTCAATTCTGCCCCTTAAGACCCACCCCCACTATCACTGCCTAATTGTGGCCCTATCATCTTTCATCCGGCTTAATCCAAAAGCCTCTTGACTGTTCTTTCCTCTAATCCATCTCAGACTTGCTGTCAGAGTGAATTTCCTAAAACACAAATCTGATTGGGTTGTGGCCTTGCTTAAAATCCTTCAATGGCTCTTTTATGCCTGCAAGGATAAAACCCACACTCCTCAGAACACCCTGTAAGGCCCTGATAACGTGCTCCCCACTGGCCTCATTTCAGCACCACCTCTTCCCCCACTGCACACTCTGACAGTGGGAAACCACTGGAAGCAACCCCAGAGCAACAGCATGGTGCTGAGGCTTTGTATAGTCTCTTCTTTCCACTGGGAACACCATGTCCCTACTTCTCCACCTGATAAACTACAACTCACCCCACAGTGCCTGGCTAGGGCATTGCTTTCTCAGAGAGGGCTTTCCTCACTGAGCCAGGGACACCCTCCCCAGCATTTCTCTTGCACTTACAATAATGAATAGTTATGCACATCTTGTGGTTACACATCTCTCCTCCCCATGAGATATTGGGACCCTTGCAGGTTAAGATTGTCTTAGGGTGATTCTACATTCACATTTGCCCAGGACAATTTTGACTTTGGTTTGATGTCTTGTTATAATTATTACCAGCACCCCTTTTCACTCTCAAAAGTGTCCTGGTTTGGATGGTGAATTATATGTTCACCCTACTTATTCATAATTAGGTTAGTGACTGTACACAGTCTTTAAAAAATATTTTTCAAATGAATGCATGAATGAGTAGGTGTCATTTTCTTCTATCAAAAAATAGCTGGATTAGATGACTTCTCTGCACTTTACTGCTTAAAGTGATTCAAATAATGTCAGTACTCCAAAAGGCTAAGACCAGCCTCCCCTTGAAAAGGACCCTCCATACAGGTTTCACATTCAGATTCATGCCTGGATCCATGACCTTTAGAGACCATTACCCTCTGGGAACCTGGCTATCAGCACCAATAAATACAGATCTCTACTGAAGACAAAGTTCCCTCAGTTAGCCTCACTAGTGGTTGGATAATCTCCTAACAGATAACAGATCCCATTTGTTTCCGGGATGTACGTTGCATTAATAGTATGATTACGGCTTGGACATGTCTCCTGAACTGTAGTGCACTTAGTTTCTAACCTATCTTATCTGCATTCTTTGCATGCAGGTGTTTGCTTCACTGTGGCCGAGCAGCAGAATGAAATCTCACCTAGATTAATACTTGGATGCTGTAAACCCTCTACTATAAATAGACACATAAAATTGACTGTGGTCACATTTAATTTTACTAGAGCAGAGTATGCATATCACTGTGCACAAAGCCATTTTAAGAAATAGCCAGTTAAAATCATTGTATCTTGGCCCTTCCACTGTAAGACTGTTTTTTATATTTACCCACATCTCATTACCAAAATTTAGTGCAGTTCAAGTTTAGATCAGACACACTTGAACAATTTACATATTCTACAATCAAAAACACCACCAAATTGCCTAAAATAACATTAGTCATTTATAAAATGACCTCTATTACATTAACAGCCTTTGTTTGTTTTTTTAACATTTGATGCCTCGACATTTTTTTTACGAAGTGGTGTCTGCAGAACATGGCTTAGGTTTAACAAAAACCGCAGAAGGTAGTAACTTAAGAAAAATGAAATTTGCCTGATGATAAAAAAAGTTTATTTGCATAACTTGTACAGTTTTACCTCCCATGAAGCACCAAATAAAAATAAATTTTCCGATTATCTTTAATATTGCCACTCTACAATGCTCTTCTCTGTGACCAAGAAAAACTTCCCGAGTACATTAAAAATAAAGATGACCCTTCATTTCTTATTATTGTTTAGAAAAGATATTCAATCACTATTTCATAGATCAAATCTCTGTTGAGTCACTGGCCTACTTTAATAATTCCACAACTCTTCACAGTTTGAAATTTGCCTGAAAAGAAAACAAACTATTTACAGATTTTTCTAAAGGTCAGCTTCAGCTACTTTGGAAAGCAATTGGGCAACATCTAGTAAAATTAACCATGTGGACACCTTACATGACCCAAAGCCCCACTTCTGGATACATACCCTAGAACAGTGGCTTTTGAACTTTTTGGTACCAGGTCTCCATTACATTCTTTTTTTTTTGTTTGTGCAGAAGATATCTATTGATATATACCTTACTGGAAGTTAAAACTGAGAAAAATTTAAGATATTTATGCATTCATTTAAAATAATAAATCCAGTCACATTAATATACATCAGTTTTATTTAAATAACTATATTTTCCCAAACAAAAAAAAATAGTGAGAAGAGTGGCATTGTGTTACATTTTGTGAATCTCTTTAATGTCTGGCTTAATAGGAAACATCCAGATTCTCATATCTGCTTCTGTGGTCAGTCTGTTGCCAACATCAACATCGTGTAGCCCCTTGAAACCTCCACTGTAGATTCACGAGAGTAAACATGAATGAGGCAGATAACATCTTAGTATTATTATAAAAATAGCTTTGATCTCATGGCCCAGCCCACACTAGAACTACTGTCCTAGAGAAACTTGAGCACAGGTATAAAGATGTTACTTATAATACTATTCATTCCAACAAGAGAGTGGAAGCTATGTATCTGTCCATCTAGAGACAACAGAAAAAGAAGCTTTTAGACAACAGAGGGGACTACACGATCCATGGGGGCTTCACTAGTACAGCTATGACTTTGAACATACTGGTGGGTGCTCAATAAATATTTGTGGAAGGAGGGAAGGAAAGAAAGAGGTAGCAAGGGAGAAAGGGAAGCAGTATGAATATTTTTCTGCGACTTGCTTTAAATTTTATTTTGTGGACATCTTTCCACTAAAATTGTAAACTTTTAGTTTGCAGGGTAGGAATAACCTAAAGCCATTCTT